CTAACAGCTTAGAAATTCTTGCAAGAATGTGTTGCACTATAAAGGATCTACAAAGCTTGCAACTGATAGTAAGAACAATTTTCAAGGGTATTTTATACATTAAAAATTCATTTAATGCTTTTCACATACGATCCTCCAATATTGCACATCGTTTTTCTAGATTCACAACTTTCTTCATCACCATGGTCTGATAACAACTGTTCATGTACATTTACATAGTCTAATTTCAGAAGAGTTTAATTTCCATTAGTGGAAATTAAAAGTGTGCACTGAAGGAAAAAAATATGTAATATTCTAATAGAAGACGTGAGACAACTGACCAGCATGGTAAAGTCATCAAGGTGAGGATGTCCCACATGGAACTAGAAACAATGAGAGAGGAAAAAAATATCCCTGAGATATAAATGGAGGTTGATATATTCCCCTTTTACAGTAATAGCCAGACAGTCACTTCAGTTTGAGACAAAATCCAAGGCTATGGCTTTCACAGACAACACGTGCAAGGCAAAAAGGGATTTTAATAAAAGCAACGGTATTAATATGCATTAAAACCCTTGATTAAGATGACTGCTGATAAGAAAAGGATTCTGAAGCTAACCTTGTTTAACAGCAGAACGCCACCTATTTTTGCCCACTGAGATTAATAGCATCTGCAAACCAAAATTAAAGGAAAAAAATCCTTAATTGGATTATACTGTGGGTCCTTCAGGACTGGCTTCACCAGGCAGCCACGCTCAGGACCTGATGCATCCAAGAAAGCTGAGAAATATTCACTGTATTTTTCTCCACTGCTCAGAATGGTTGTGAGAGAAAAATCCCTTACCAAGCCTAAAGTCAGTTCATTCCCTGAACCTTGAGATCTGTTTCCTTTTATTTTCATAAACAGAAACTCAGCATTAGCAAGAGGAAGAGCAAAAGAATATGACAAATTGCTAATATCTTTAATTGGCTTTTTCTTCCAGGTCATTGAAGATTGGAAGTATGTTGCCATGGTAGTGGACAGGCTGTTCCTCTGGATATTTGTCCTTGTTTGTGTCCTGGGGACTGTTGGATTATTTCTGCAACCCCTTTTTCAAAACCACACTGCTGCCATGAACCCTTAGTTGCCATTTAAAATCGTCAATATTTACACAAATGTTGGGTCCCATTCTACTCTCAGTTCCCCTCTGTTAAATCCACAGAGATGCCAGGTGAGTTGCACTTACATCCCTTAGGGTAGGGAAAAGGAAAGTAGAACTTGACTTACTGTGGTAAGAAAAAAACCCCAAACAAGCAGAAAACTAAAAATTTTTTCCAGTGAGTCCAGTACTTCTGGTGATATCTTGGCCCTTTTTTCAATTGTTTGAAGTCTGAACATTACAGAAAAAGGCTTTTACTGTACAATATGCCATCCTGGTTTATTATTATTATTGTTATTATTATTATTATTACTATATTTTAAATACATTGCCTTAGGAAGGATCTTTTCTTTCCTCAGAACACTGAAATTTCCCTGTTACGAAGAAGGTATTGCTATGAAATCTGTTTCCTTCAAATGCATCAAAACAATTTGTGTCTGATGTATAAAGAACTTTACAAGTGGGTTTGATACTTAAACCTGAGCCTAGGAATAGAAACACACTTCTGAGGTTTCTCACCTTGCCATCCCTGACAGCTGAACGATCAACAACGGCAAAAAAAATGTGTGATAAACAAACACGTAGATAATACTCTGTTCATTGATGAAAAAGAAATAAAACATAAATTTTTCCTTTATATAGATTAGTCCTCAAATGTTCCTGCAACTTTCATGTCTCTGGGGCTCATATACACTTTAATGAATCTCAGGCTGAGAGCACAGGAAAGCAACTGTGAAAGGCAACAAGAATGAGAAGGACACCTGAGAACACACAGACCTGTGTGTTTTTCTGGGGAGATGTTAACGTGGATTTAAGTCTAATCCTCAACAAATTAGCTAGGGAAACACATAAGGCATGTGGAGTCTCAAAGGCTTTGGCAAAGGACAGATGGAGGCCTCAGACTCCCATCACAGGACAATCCCACCACAGTTTGTCCCAGGTAACCTGCAAGAAGAGAAGTGGGTTCCTGGATAACCTCAGCTTTCCCTTGGGGTGTTGTCAGGATACATAACAATTGTACCACCACTGATAAGCACAACCAATGACTGGAGAACAAACTGTTAAAATCCTCTACTACTTGTGAAGGGGATTTGAGGCTCACCTGTCCCAGGGGAGGACCAGCTGACTCCTAAACCTGTGTTCTTCAACAAGCCACAGGTGACAACAGTTCCAGATCTATTTGCCTTCATCAAAACTGAGCTACATCTCCCCCTAGATCAGCATTCCCAGGAAGCCCCAGATAACTACATAGATCTAGACATGCCAAAACAGCTCCATCCACCTTTCCAACCGTTCAGAGCAGCTGCAGGACCTCATTCCCTCCTTCCCAGCCCGTGGCTGAACTCCCCCGCACCACTGGCTCACGTGTCCTCACCCCACACGCTCACCCCTGAGCCCTGGAAGGGCTCTCCTGAGGGCCTGAACACTTGAGCATGGCCTGGTGCCCAGCACTCTGGGAAGGATAGGGTGAAAAAGTATCACAAGTGGGGTGGCTGAGGCTCCTTGAGGTTATGTGTTAGAAGAAGGGTTGTCACACTGTCATCCTTCCTCCCAGTCCCCTTCCTCAAAGCACTGTGACTGTGTCCATCACAGACGGGGCAGGTGGGGATGGATAACTGCAGGACAGCCCTCCTGGTGCAGGTACACCCTGTGATCAGCTAAGCTGCCACATCCTGCCCTCACAGTGGGGGGCAATGCCCTGGCCACCTCCCCAAACATTATCTGTTCTGGACACTCCCGGGGGGACTGGTGGGTGGGGGAAAGTCAAACCTGCTTTCCCTGCCTTAAATGTTTCCTTCTCCTTTTCAGACCTAGAGAGCAGAGCTGTTTCTCTGCAGGCAACTGAACAGCTGTGAGATGAGATAAAACACAGGCAGCCCCTGGGAGCAGAGGGGTGCCCTCGCAGTGCAGGTTATATATACATATATATATATATATATATATATATATAAAATACATACTTATAATCCTCTGTGTTAAGTTATATCACAAGCACAGGTGCACACAGTGCCCCAGCTGGTAAACGGCTTTTTCTGCCGACAGAGAAGCCACAGGGAAGGCAGAGCAGCTGCCAGTGCTGTGCAGACAGTGTAAAGGTGAAGGCCCTTTAAATATCAAAATAACCCTGACCAGTGAGTCTGAGAGAGGTAGCACGGACTTAACTGCTGTGAGAGACCCTGCACAGCCCCTGGGGGCAGAAGGGAGGGGACTCATCCTCCCAAGTAACCAAAGGTTCACCAAATCTGCCAGGGCCCCTGCAGTCCCCCCACATGACACGGGGTCTTTGCAGAGCAGAGACCCCTCTCTCTGCCATTTTTACCAGCACCAACAGCACTTTTGGCTCTGTCCCCCCCTCACCCTCTTACCAAATTTTACTCTTCTACCCAGTCCCTTCTCCTTCTCATCCTCCCCCTCACTGCTTGAGTGCAGCTGAAAGGAGGCCCCTGGTGCTCCCAGCTCAGAGTTGGCTCATCCTCATGAGCAGTGAAGACTGATAGCACTTGGCTCTGTAACCACAGCCTTCAGCTGAATTATCCTCAGCACACATGAAAGTTTTAGAAAGGATTTGGCAGCTCAGCTAGCAGCTAACACAGAGTGCAGGCAGATGAAGGCCTCAGACTTGACAAACCCAGAAAAAGCTTTCCAAAGGCACATCGCTGGCCCCAGGGAGATGCCTGGGGAACACAGCTCCTCATCCAGGAAATGGGCTCTGGTGCTTTCCACGCACTCCTTTTTTAATCACAACTGGAACAATATAAGCTTTCCTAAGGATGTCCTTGGAAACCACCACTGTGTGTTTAACATTTCCAGAAATAATTCAATCCGTAGAAAACTTCAGAATGAAAAATTTCACCCCAAGTCCTAAAATCCTGACAAATCTGACCTAAAACCGTGCTTTCAAAGTGGCAAACACTATTTTTGCCTAACCCTCAGCAGCTCCACCCACGTAATACATAGAACTGTTCCCAGTTTAACTTGTCAGAGAATTACAGGGTTTTCTGCTTTGGTTTTCCTGGTGAAATTTCAAAAATAAAAGATTTCTGGAGAAAAGGAAACATCAAAAATATCATCTTGCAAGCAAATATGAATAATATCCCAGTTCACCAAACAAAATGAACTTCAACATTTCCACTTTTCCTGGGGTTCTACCGTAATACTTTTCATTTAAAAAAGTGGACATTCAAAATGTATTTTACACTAAAATTGTTTTTCAATAGCAGTGTGCAACCAGTCTGCTTCCCTACCAGTGAAGAAAAGCCTCTGTTGGCTCTCTCCCCATTCCCTACCATCACAGATTTCACAGAATATTCTGAGCTGGAAGGGACCCACGAGGATCATCAAGTTCAACTCTTACATGAATTATAAAACTCTTTAATCCTGACCAATCCTACCTTTCATCAGAACATGTAGAAATGCCACCACCACCACACACACGTACCACCTGCATCCAGGTGCATTTATTTGGGACTGTTTCTGCACCCCTGCAGCCACAGCAAACTGGGAGCAACAGCAGTGTTGGATTTTTAAAGAGGGAGCATTAATATCCCAGCAAAGGTGCGAAAATATTCTTTCCTTCATTACCTGAGTTGATACCTGAGCATATTTATTAAAAAGCAAAGGCTGCACACTTTGTTACTGCAGATCTTCTTGGGTAGATCAGCTTCCCCCTAATCAGACAAATTCTTCCTCTATGTAGTTCTGCAATGCAGTCATGGTGACGTGTTCTCATCACATCGCTCTCCCTTGGCCATAAAAATAATCCTACCACAATCCTGAGCTGGTTTCACCAGCACCTCCAGCATGGGGTGCTGGAAACAAAACATCTGTGCCACATAAACACCACTGAAAATTTCAGTAACTCAGCTAATTAAACTGAAGTACCTGTGTCTCTTGATGTAATGGCTCTTTGCTTCCTCTGCAGATCAGATGTTTCCAAATGATCCAGGCTAAGCACTGACTTTTGGGGAATACGAGTTTATGATATTGTCTTTGAAGCTTTAACTCATTTCTAGTTGGGATTAAAAAGAACAAACAGAAATCTCAGTTACAATGTTGCTTATAGCAGGGAAGCAGAAAGGGAAGGCATTTAGTCTCAATGTCCTGGAAAGGCAAAGACAAAAGTATCCACAAAGGGTTAAGTTAAAAGACAAAGCAGGCGAGTTCTCTGGAAAAAAAAAAAAAGAAATAAAATCAAATGGACAGTAAAGCCTATTTCCTCCAAGCTAATAGAATTACAGAAATTATCATAAGAGCATGTGTCTGGGGACAGAGTGAATGATGCTCTGAGAGATAGGGCTAACAGGATAAACAAGCTCAGTGCCAGGAGCTGAACCCAGCCTGGTGCTCTTTCTCCCCGTGTTACCTCTTAACACAGAGCAAAGGGGTCACTGGTTACCAACCACTAAGAGCAGGGAGTGAAGCACCTCTTGGTGCAGCTCCTGTCCCACAGGGCTTCTCTCTCTCATCGGTCCTAAAAATGAGGGTGGAATCCCACATTTTTCTCTCCCCCTTGCTCCCTCCCTCCACACAGATGAGTGCAGCTGTGCAAGCCTTGTGTCATCTGGTCATCCAAGGGGTGGGGGGACACAAAAGGTGACAGAAGTTAACAAGGAAGCTGATGGGCATCTGGGGAATGAGTCCCTTTGTAAATCATGATTTTATGACTGAACTTCAAACACAACTCCCCATTCTTCCCAGTGTCCTTCCCCATGAACAATGAGGTTTTGTGGGATCAAGCTGGAATCCTGTGCTCTTATTCCCTTCTCAAATTTCACCTTTCTAATCAACAAAAGCAGGAATGGCCTAAAGAGTTATTCTCACCGGTTTGATCAAGTTTAATTCTCCATTCAAAGCCTGGCTCTTGCCAGATCCCAGCTGCTGTGTTTACCACTCTGGGCTTAGATTCTGTCAACAGTTGCACATGCCTTTAATTACTCCTGGGAATAGCACATCCTTTTTATACAGCCAAGCACCCAGCACATGCGCTGGTGAGACGAGACACGGGCAGGAAAAAAGCCTCGATGTTAACGGCATGATTGTAGATGCAGGTCCCAGGATCTCAGTTCACTGCTAAATCAGGCATCCCTAATGTCAATATTCATTTCAGCACAATTCAATTACAAGATTTTTATTAATTAGACTTCCCTTAGTAGATTGTTATGAGCTTCTGGTAGAGAAGGATCCTACAGAGCAGCTGACAGGAAAAATCTTTAGCACCGTCAGACTACCAGGCTCATTTATGCACCATTTTAAGGACTCTTGCCCATTATCCTTGCCAGAAGGCTGCTCTTTGCCTACAATAACATCTGTTTGGCCTGCAATTTGTTTGCCATTTCCCAAGCTCTGACAGCCCGGGTAGCCAGGAAGGGGGCAGCACAGCAACCCTAATGGGAGCTCACTGCGCAGAGCTGTTCAGGGTCCTGCCGGCTGCTGCTTCAGGCATTTCACGCATCGGAGGAGCGCAGCTCTCCCCGCTCCCTGTGCTCGCACAGTCCTGGCAGCGACGCTCGTCTCCAGCAGCCTCTGTCGACAGGCAGTAATTCATAACACCATGGAGAGCATCCCCGCTCTCCTCCTGACTGCTGCTCTTTGCTTCCTCTGCCAAGGTGAGTGATCCTTCATTTGTTACTGTTTGGTGGTGAAGGGGGGGTCGAAAAGGTGGACAGGAGATGGCTTTGGTGCAAATTATTTTTAAGAAGCTCACTCCAAGCTAAGGGCTAAATCCTAGTACAGCTCTTTTTGTTACGCAGTTTGTTGTTCAGCGGGTGGGTTTTTAAAGTTTATCGTTGTAAAGTATTTAATTGTCCTGATTAAAGATGCCAAACAGGACACACAAAGCCATTTTAACTTTAAGGAAAAGCACCCTACATGTAAAGGTGTGGTTTCACATATTGCAGAGAAGACCACCAGAAAGTGGCAACCTTAAAGAGCTTCAAATACAAGCTGCAAACAGCCCATCTTCTCCCTGCAGATATGGAAAGCACCAAAATATTAAAATAAAAACCCCCACATCAGTGCACTTCTCTAGAGACGGTGGATGCTGGATTTAATTAATGCTAGTGACATGTAAAAAGGCTGGCAATCTGGGACTGACTATAACAGAGTCGTTAAGATCTAGCTTTGAAATTATTTACCTAAAAGATTCGAGAGTATTTATTCCAGGAAATCTTGATATGAGAGATAGGAGATATCAATAAATAATATGGACAAGACTGGCAATTGCAAAAGTGTTCATTTTTTAGCTTGCAAGTTGGCTTGAACGATTTCACTAATCTGAAAACAAAATTGTCCTCTAAGGGAGCAAGAGAAGGGGAGAGGGGCAAAAACCAATCAGCCAAACCAAACCCCAAACAAACCAAAACCCAAACAAACGAACTTTTAGCTGAGTAGATTCACTTGAGAGGGACCTTCTTGTTCTAGAGAGAGGGGAGGACTCACAAAGATTGGAAAGTAACACCTGCTTTGTGTAACATTTCAGATCAGTCATCTGCAGGTACTTCTGCCTCCCTCCTCTTTCTCTGCTGAAAAACAACTGACAAAAAACCCCCCATGTCCTTGCAAATCTGTAGATTCATATTTGTGTTTCACAGGAACTGCAGAATATGTTCAACAGACTTCAGTTCATGCCTTTGCCAAATTTGCATAGTGCCATCCATTAATGACAAAACAGGCCTCGTTTTCCTTTTCAGTTGGAGTTCATAGGGATGTGTTGTCCAGAACGAGTTTAAGAGAGTTTTAAGAGATCATTCTAAAAATAAAAGACCACTACCCTTTAAAATAGCATTAGGATGGTCATTGCCTAGTGAGTTAAACAGGAAAAAGGTAATGTAAAATACAGGCTCTCACACCTCATCCTGAAACAAGTAAAGTACCCTAATTTTTTAGAATTTCAGTTTGCAGTTTTTCTGTAGGCCACAGGGTACCATGAACTGCAGTTATGAGTGGCAAAGGGACAATACGAATCTATTACAAATCAAAACTACTTAGAATAAAAAACGGGTAATTAGCATATTTCTTTGAATGTGCTGAAAAGTCTTTGAATATAACAGTTAATAAATTTTATTACTTTTTTTTTTTTATATTTTAAGAAGCAGGCTGTTATCCTTGCCATAATCACACAATCGTGACTCAGGCTGGAAAGTAGATTTGTTTCCTGGGAATCCTCCTATTGCAAAACGTTCTGACCTTTCACAAGCGGCCTGGTCTGTTGGGCTGCACTTTCCCCTTCCTGTGCTCCACAGCTTTGCCAGGTCTAGGGGACCGGGCCTGTGAGGGGAAAAGGCTTTTGTACCTCCAGTTCTTCAGTAACTCCCCGAAACTTTTTAACTCATTTGCAGAGATGTGTGTGAGAAGACCTCTATCATAGCTGCTTTTCTTCTCCCCAGCCCAAGCTAACGCCCCCCTGGCACGGTCGTGCCCACTCAGGCGAGGCTCGGGCAGTGCCCAGCCCAGGGGATGCTGAGCGGGCGGACAGGGGGGCTCTGCCCCGGCGCTCACCGCGTGTCCTCCGCAGGCTGCGGCGGCTCCGAGGCCGAGCACCGGCTCTACGCGGCGCTCTTCGAGAGCTACAACAAGTTCGTGCGCCCCGTCAAGAACGTCTCGGACCCGGTCATCATCCAGTTCGAGGTGTCCATGTCGCAGCTGGTGAAGGTGGTGAGTACCGGGCGCCGCGGCGGGGCCGGCGCCTGTCCCCACACAGCTCTCCCGACACAACTCTCTCTTCCAGGACGAAGTCAACCAGATCATGGAAACCAACCTGTGGCTGAAGCACGTGAGTAGCGCTCAGTGACAGCCGGGCCGGCACCGACCCCCCTTCCCCCCCAGCGCGGGAGTGCTCCGGGGCACCCGGGCCGGGGAGAGCCGCCCGCCCTGCCAGGTGTCCGCGGGCTCGGGGAGCACCGGGGCGGCATTCCCGGGGCAGGATCCTGGGGCAGGATCCCCGGGCGGCATTCCCGGGGCAGGATCCTGGGGCAGGATCCCCGGGCGGCATTCCCGGGGCAGGATCCTAGGGCAGGATCCCCCGGCGGCATTCCCGGGGCAGCATCCCGGTCTCCCCGCCGGCAGCGCCGCCCGGCCCCGTCCTTGGCGCTCTGCTGCCTCCCGGCGGCCACTGGCCCGCTCTGCCCGGGGGAACGGGAGGGGATGGGAAGGGATGGGATGGGAGCGGAGCAGCGCTGCTACAGCGGCTGGGAGTCGCTAAATAAAACATTTTTGCTCCCAAGATTCCCACACGCGCTGCCTTGGCTGACACTCAGCACAGCTGTCCCGCACAGCATCACTTGGTGCTGTTTGGTTCCCGGAAAGTGAGAAGAAACCAAAAGTGTTTGCCTCACTTAAAAAGGGTCTTTAGAGGTTAAAAATGCAGTTACTCACTGTTGCAGTCAGCTGAATAACCAGCTTAGTTCCCGCTTTCAGCTTGATATTCGATTTTGTTTAAGCGGGGTTTAACGAGCCCGAAGGACCGAGGCTGTTACTGAACTGAGCAACGACACCCTGCAGCTGTTTCTGACCCACATCCCCCGAGCCCCTCACTCGATGCTCTCACACCTACCCCCACAGCCTCCACGAATTTGTTCTCACCATCTCACAGGTACCTGGTTTCTTGAGACTGAAGTTATTATTAAAGTCCTACATTCTCTGACAAGAGTCTTACTCCTTCTTTCACCTTGTTTCAACTGCTGAGTTGGCAGTCTGGCACAGAGTCACAGACATGTAAGTCACATCTATGTGTGACCAATAAGGTCATATCTAGGCCCACCTACAATCTGCATATGAACAAACACCCCACATATGTGTTTGTTAAAGAAACAGCTAAACACTGTGTATCCAAAATAACCCTAGGAGTGATATGACAACACTTGGTTCAGGTCTAGTCCACTGAATTTCAGTTTCTTCACAAACCTAACACAGACTCCTTTTGTCCATAATTAGATCTGGAATGATTACAAGCTTCGGTGGAATCCAGCAGACTATGGAGGTGCTGAATTCATCCGGGTACCATCTGGCCAGATCTGGAAGCCAGATATTGTTTTATATAACAAGTAAGACTCTTGCATATTTATCTCCTTAATTCAGGAAGAAGGGGGGTGATGTTACCAGTTTAAAAAAAAATCAGCAGCAAGTTCCCCAAATACACTGAGAAGCCTGCTTTCCACCACACCTGTGTCCCACCCCCCCCCACTGCTGTCCTCACCTCCATGCCAGCTCCATCAGCATCCCTGGGCAGGAGCCAGCTCTAACCTGGAGCTGCAACTGGGCAAGCCAAAGTGAACTTGGCTTTCCCCCTTCACTTTTACTGTTATTTGTATCACTGTCTACCAGGGGAGCTGGCAGGAATTCCCTTAGACTGGAGAGTTCTTGTCTATGAGTCAGACTTTTAACCGAAAAAAAAAATGCAACTTCTAGCTTTTTAGCAGTTAAATTCACAATTTAAATTCACAGCCTTTCTAATAACAGTGTTGACATATAAAAGCCACAGAGAAAGTTTACTTTAGATGTCAGTTGCTGAGACACTGAGGAGCCAAACCATAACTCAGTGGCTCCCTCTGCTACGTAGGGAAGCAGTTCTCAGGGAGATGGATTTACCTCCCCAGATCCAAAACTTAGGTCTGTGGATCAACAGTGATGACACTCCTTTTCTAACGGTGCTCTTAAAACTTCAGATTACTTTTTTTAGTTTTACTTCTTCATAGAAACAACTGAATTTGTCACATGGATCATATAAGATAGCAAAGTGGGACTCAAAAGAACCCCTCACGAAATACTCTCCTTAGGCAAAGATGCACCCCAACCCTAATCCCTCTTTCAATAGTTACTGCACTGTCCACAGAAGAGGTGGGAATACCAGTAATACAGGTATCCTCTTATCAGCCCCTGGGTGCTTGATTGATCTAGAATAGAACAGAATAAAATAGTTCAGTAGGAAGGGACCTACAAGACTTATCTAGCTGAAGTGCCATTTGCAGTCTGCTATTTGCCATTTTGAATATTGATTGCACTGAGCCATATTATTAATAAGGGAATTGATAATATTCCCTTTCAG